TTAGTGCACATCGTGACCTCATTAAAGAAAGCATTATTTGAGCTTGTCTCTGGTAGAGCGCATTGGTTCGTAGGTAAACCATGATCAGCGTTATATCTGGGGTGTATCAGCATAAATGTCGCACAACGAACTGAATTTAGCCCCCCCCCCAGATGACCACTGGCAAATGGCCGCCGAGATCACGTTGAGAACGAGAGCGCCACGAGACTTGTAAATATCAATATCTCCCACGTGATGATACCCACTTTGCAGCAACTAGCGTACTGATTTTATTTCGTCGTAACCCTTTTTACGAGGACAATTCTTAAAAACCTGACAAGCAGAAGAATTAGTTTACCAACCGAAGTCGTGATGCGGCAAACAAGTTAACCACGCGGGACATCGAGAACAGACAGACACACGGCTCGACGTTTGTGCGTTTGTTGTTAGATACAACACATACCCATGGTGCGATCATGATTACCTTTTCAGTGGAAAACTGTGATCAAATTATAAGAGTTCTTTGTTTACACAAAAGAGCACCAACATTTCTATTTTACATCATATGGCCCGGGGCCTACGCAGTAAATTCAGATTACGAGCGCCTCACTAATAAGCACACTACTAACTATAATGTGACCTTTGACCCAGTATAGCAGTATATCATACCTAATATGGTCTATAGTTTTCTATTTATACAGTATATTTTCGTCTGAGTGCTTTTAATGCCTAATGTGTTCATTTATCGTGCGGCACCCCCTGGGGGAGGATGCCACGTTTTTATGACCACTAACTCGAGTTGTTTTCGTTTATGGTGGGCGATTGTCGAGCTTGGCGAACTGGTGCCACGTCCTGTAGGTGTCTATTGTTCCGAGTTTCTTCGCAATGTATCACGCCAGTCTAATACTAGATTAAGTGAATGCAGAACTGGCATGGCTTTCCAATATTGGGATATTCCACGGGTTTTTGACACGTCCCGCCACTTACGAAGAATCAGGTCCCGAGCTTAACTGCTCTCACAGGCGATTGCTACACGCTTCCCTGGTTTGACCTCGTTCCGAGATTATGTCAATTTTGAAACCTACATTTTGGGGTCATTGTGATTTTTTTAAACTGTAATCCCAGTTTTTTTCTATTTTGTCATGAGATTTAAAATGTTGATTCTTCCCTCAAACACCGAAAACTGTACGCCAAATTTGTTTAAGCATGAAGAAAGCCGCTGTTCTCCGTATCCCCCAGATAGGCCAATTGTTTATACCAGAATCGATTGTTTGCGGAATTAATTGTTATCTATGAATGACGAATGTCAACCACACAGTGAATGAAAAAATATTCCGATTTCGAGAGTTCGTGGTTCAGAAATACGGACGCCATTTGGCAATACATATACCTCCTCTTATACCTTACCAATATAAGTACCCCAGGAGGTTTTACTCAACGATTAGCCGCGGGATTGTCAGCCATTTTTCGGTTCGAATCACTACATATCAATAAATCGGGTGAAATATACACAGGTGTCGGAGAACGATTTTTTAAAATATGTTTGTGCCAGGCGACAGTTCCGGACATTGAATGTCACTCTGTTGTCTCTCCTGGCTTTTTTTAATGTGCAATTTACAGTGCATTTTACCACAGTAACTACTAGACAGTATATTACGTGTTTGGGGCTATGTGTCAG